ATATATATAGATCCAATGCCAACAAGGTAATTAAATGCCTTGAATTGGACATATGTAACATTTCCAACCATGTATTTCCACTGATATGTAGGAAAATGGTATAGAAAATCTTTATTCATAGGTACTGCAGTTTTCATTTATTTCTGTATGTGTCAAACTGTGTCACCTTTCTGACTTCCTGCAAAAGGCAAACAGTTAAAACTGTCAGTGTTTCAAGACGGAGCCATCAAACGTGGTCCAAGCACGTTGCAAAGTGAACAAAAACATATTCTTGGAAGCATATTTCAGCACAGAAAATGAAATTCAGTGGCAGAGGCAGCAAAGCATTAAAACACATTGTGTCAAAAAAATTTATAAAAAATAAAAAAAAAACCAGAGTAACCACTAAAGTAGCAGCAAAGCATAAATCAACAAATTGCTTTTGAAACATTTTGTTGAAAGCTCAGTAAGGCGGAAAATCAGAAAATAAACTTTAACTCTCTGTTATTATTTGCCTGACCCTTACAGTGAAGCATAAAGTCTGTTTTTATAAACTCTGACTTGAGTAAAACCAACTAGATCAATTTCTGTAACATTATTTTCTGAGCAAATACACAGAATATATATATATTTAAATTAAAATTTCTGAGTTTTTTGGGGTACATTTACTTCTTCTTTTTCTATCTACAATCACTCTGATGCAACGTTCTAGGAAAGTGAGAGTTTAATTTGGAAAAGCGCAAAATCAAAAACACATTAAAGTTTGTCACAATGTGAAAAAAAATGCTGAAGTGGTGTGAACACTCTGCAACTAACTGTGTATCAGTGAATGTAAAAAAGCATTTTTGGACAGAATAAGCTCCTTGGCCTGGTTCTATACACACCTCCTGTAATTAACATCAGCATAACAAACATGAGGATAATTGCCTTGCTTGCCTCAGGCCTGGTGAGGAGCAACACAATGCCGCAACATTTTGCTGCTTTGTATTTCTGTCAGGCGCAAACAGAGTTAAAGCAGCTTTGGTTGAAGAGTAAAAACCGAACCGCATGTTAGCTTCTTCTATCATAAGACACGGAAATGATGGAAGGATCCCATTGTGTGGCCAGGAAATTAAAAGCTAAAGCACCATTTAGAAGTTCAGTCAGACAGCTGTATGGTATATCTGCACTATATTTTGCTGGATCAAATAAAGAAAATATTAATTTTGCACAAGATTTCTTTCGTTCAGCAGGAGTTTATAGAAAAATACGTATATTCCAGCAGCTGTGCAAAGGTCTTCCAGTCTGGGGAAGAAAGACCCCATGAGAAGGGAAATGTCAGGTTAGTTGAAATGTGGTTCAGAGGAAAAGAGAGGAGGAAAAAAAAAAACACCAGCGAGTGGGAGTAGTGTTAGTGCTGCTGTGGCAGACTGGATGAAATGGCAAAGGAACAAGCGGGGATGTTGGAGTCAAACCTGCAGCTGGAGTCGTTTCCGGCTGTTTGGGGCTCAGAAAGCTGTCTGAACGCAGTCAAGAGGAACCAGGGTTTTCTGTTCATATGACCTTTTGTTAGTCTCAAGTATAAATATATTTTATTTACTGTCTCCGCTTTGAATTGAGAGTTATAACGCTGCTGTAGATACGTTACAAGGAGACATACTGCCCCCTATGGACATAGTTTATACCGTACAACAATGTTTTCATTCACTAAAATACATTTTAGACAGCTTTTACGCACCTCAAGGTTACCAAAGATCATAATTAATTGGCTTAGGAACATTTTGGTACAAGATTACATTTGGGGTAATGTTAATGAGACAAGTGAATCGGGGATTCGAGATGGCGACTTCAAATTATTGAGTTTCTTATCAATGAGCCACTTTTTACCTGGTTAGGTAACGCTATAATTGTTTGAACAGATGAACGTGGCATATACATGCCACTTGAATCCCTCAAATGGATTATTGCGACAAAATTCAAGTGATAAAAATATTTTTACAGCAAATATATCACATTAGTACTTAATTAAAAGCATACCACGTGGAAATAATATTAATGGAAAAGTCCCAACTTGAAAAAGCGCAGCTGCTTCTTTACAAATGCAATATTAACTGTATTTAACGATCGATGAGAAGATCTTGCTAAAACTAAGGCGATCCTGCCCCCTGCTGGTCAATGATCAAAACTGTATATTTTCATAGCAATGTACAAATAAAGGAATACATTTATTATTATTATTATACATTAACAATTCCTGTCTGTGTCTGGTGAATATTTGATAATAATAATAATAAAAAGTTTGGTTGTTTATTAAAGTTTTATATCGAAAGAAACTGATTTTATTTCTCAGTACTTTAGTAGACATTCTACCAAATATATTTTACTGTTATTTGAGTGATGTTTTGGACGACTACTTTTTACTTGTATTTGAGTGAAAATATGTCGAAGTAACGCTACTCTTACTTGAGAACATTTTTTGGGTACTCTACCATCCTCTGTTTAAAGAACAGGTGACTCAATATGTTCGTTAACTTTACCATGTCCAGATAAAATGACCAGTTAAATTAACAATGAAGTGTTTACACGTAAAGACATCAAAGAAAATACATTTCCCAGGAAAAATACCAACAACATGCTAATGTCGTCTTGAAAAATAGCCAACGTTACTAGTAATAAGAACACATACCGGTTATGTTGACAGTCGGCTGGTCTGTCTCGGTTTTGTGGCTCATGCTCCTCCATTTGTGTCCAAACAGCAGCATTACTATCCTTGCAATGGCTCCCGGTGTGCCTCCGAATAAAATCCTTGACCGCCATAACTTTTAAGTAGAACGCCACTAAGCTGCCATAGCAACAGCTGAGCTGTCTTCCGGTCGAATGCTGCCATCCTTCTCGCTGTTAGCTTATACTTTGTTCGTTATTTCTTTAAATACAGGGCACTAACTATTTAGCTAGTGGCAAAATCTTTTTATTTGATCAAAAATAAACTAAATATTGAAAATTATTCATGGTGATGAAATGAGTGCTTTAAATTTAAAAGATTAAAATCTGAATCCTAGCGCCACAATAATAACGGAAGTAGCCATTAGCATTAGCCGGGTTACAACATTTTCTTTCCCTTAGTGATTTATTTTATTTTAATTGAATTATATTTTATTGAAAGCTGCCAGATCACTGAAAATGTTGATATAGTTTAAGAATTCAGGGTTCAGTGGTCATTTAATTTATTATTATTTCGCTATTATTTTATTAATGTGGTTTACCAGTTTGGATAATCTGACTTCCCATCATTGAAGAAAAAAACATGCCAAGCAAAAATACACCAGACACACACCTGCAGGCCAGAGGCGGTCCTAGACGGGAGGCAACAGGAGGACTTTGAAAATTATATTAAATGTGTTTTAACATTTAGTGGTAGATTTATTTAACCTTCACAATTTTACTTTAACAATGAATTAAAAATTATAGTACTGCACTGTTAGCTGCTGTATTGATATAGGATCATATTTTCCATTTGCTAGATCAGGATCTGCAATTTGAATCTCTGGAGCCACAAGTGGCTCTTTGCCTCACTTAATATATCAAATGATGAAATATTGCTGGTAAGTTTGGTGTAGAACCAGCCTCCAAAGCTCCAAAGACCTTAATGAATATATTTTTAACCAGCTATAAGGGGCTGGCCTTATATCATCAGCAGCTTTATTCAAATGGTAATTTGTAATACAAAATATTATGCTTAGTGATTTTTTTCCAATGGGCAATTTTAAGTGGCAATGCAGTACCTAACTAATTTAGAATATGTTTTGCGATATTTATGAATGGAAATTGTGTACAGTATTAGCTTTATTTATTTGAAGATTACTTTGTAGTGGTTCAGTACAAAATGTTGTATGTGTCCAAAATATTTGGATCAATAATGGGTTCATATGATCCTGGTCCTTAGCCTTGTTAATTACTCTTGTTGCTCTGTTTTGAAGTTTGATTAGTGACTGTTGTGTTGTTTTGTAATTAATTTCCCAAACCTTTCTGGAGTCACTTAAGGTAAAACTAAAGAACACTATAGAAAGTCACACTGCTACATTGTGATCAGAAAGGTGTTTGGTACTGAAATTATGATAGACCCACTTCGTAAACTGTGAACTGAAATAATAAAACTCTGACTCAATTTCTACTTTTCCATAGATGGACAAACATTTTTGTTTAAAGAAAAAAGGCAAACAGCCACATAACGTTCAGATAAAGATCAGGGTAATGCAATTTCTACATATGATTTTCAAATTAAGTTCATGTTAATGACAAATAGAGGACTAGTCAATAACCTGAGCTCCTACCTTGATAATAAACTGGTTTTAGGTTTGTTAATTGTATGAATTTTATTATTATGTCTAAAAGAATAGGGTCCTCATGGACCGCTCTTACCTACTGTCACCAAGGTGACGTAGGGCCGCCATCTTGGAGTGGTCGCCCATTCCACTCAGCGTTGTACGTTTGAGGCACATTTAAGTGTCATTGCATTTTATTAATTAGAAATTGCTAAATCCTAAACAGAATTTCACGCTTTTTTACTAGAAACCTTATTCAAACAACTATCAAAGCTACAGTTATGAGGAAATTAATCTTTTAAAAGTATTTTTAAATTGGATTAATACATGGGTCAGCATATTTAAATTAGTGGGGACTACTGATGTTAAGGCTGTTGGTCGGTCGTCATTCAGGCCTGTCACTGTGGAGCACTTGGAGACAGGGACAATAGTGGTGGTCTTTACGCTGGAGAGGACAGGTGCCAGTAACAGTGAGGTGTCGAAGATGTCTCAGACAGCTGACGTGCACAGTCCCTCAGAATCCGCCCTGGGATATTACCGGGACCAGCAGCCTTACAGGGGTTGATTTCCTGGAGGGATTTCCTTACATCTGCTGTGGTCACACAGAGAGGAGTGTCACCAGGAGGTGGTATTAGTCTGGTGCTGAGGGGGGTGTTAGGATGCTCAAAGCGGGAATAGAGCTTAAGTGCATCTGGCAGTGAGGGGGTTAGGCTAACCCTAACCCTCGGGTCGCTTTTCGGAGTGCTGATGCCTCGTCTGTCCTGAACGCAGCGTCCCTAGCTTTCAGCAGAGCTCTCACCTCAGCATTCAGCCAGGGTTTCTGGTTCGGGTAGCAGGTTTCTATCTTGGTGGTGGTGACATCATCAGCACAATTGGAGATAAAGCCAAGAACAGAGGAGGTGTGTTCCTCCAGGTCCACCTCTCCCTCATAAGGAGCCACCTCTCAGAAGATCTGCCAATCTGTGGGCTGAAAACAGTCCTGGAGCACAAAGGCTGAATCTCTGGGCCACACAGTGACTGTCTTCTTATTTGGTCTAATCCGACTCATTAGCGGACGATATGCTGGCGTCAGCAGGATGGAGATGTGGTCGGAGAGGCCAAGATGCGGGTGAGGAAGATCTCTGTATGCACCGTGAATGTTGGTGTGTACACACAGTCCAGAGTGCAAGATGGATGACATGCCAGTAAAAACTGGGCAGACTGTCTGTCAGCTTCACGTGGGTAAAGTCCCCCAGCTCACATAAAACGCCTCCAGGTGCTTCATCTGCATTGAGCTAACAGTGGTTAGCTCCTTCAAGTGGTCCGCTTGGAGTTGATCTGGAAGGCTCAATTGCATGTTGCTGTTAAGCCAGGTTTACGTTAGGCAAAGAATGGCACAGTCCATCTCTGCTGCCAGCATGCCCAGGTGGGCCCCATATGGGTAAAAGGAGGGCAGACCATATGGGTCCCATATGGGTTTCTCCGCGGGTTCCATGGTGGCCCCACATGGGTTTGCCCATGTAGCTCCGTGATATCTTGGAAGAAGTCGGCAGGATGTCCTTTGAGACTCATTCACTAATTAAAGCAAATGAGGACTTAAAAATTGAAGTTTAAAACCTAGAACAATCAGCATTTGAAAAGGACGAGCTTGTTCGGGAGAAAGATGAGGAATATAAAAAGCTGGATGGAATAAAAATAACTTTAGAGAAGGATAATGCCACACTGGAGAAGATAAACACTGACATGGAGAAGAAAAATACTGACTATGACAAAGAAATCGCTGCCCTGAAGAAAAAATTCAGGGCTCTGGAGCAGGAGAACATCAACTTGAAGCTGAAAGCAAACACTCTGGAGGACAAAAACACCACCCTGGAGGAAGAAAACTCAGTCTTAGAGCGGGTAAACTTCATTTTGGAGGGGGAAAACAAAGTTTATGCTGAGAAAGTCTCCAACCTGAGGCAGGAAAGGAAATTTCTATATAAGAAAATCACTGTCTTGGAGCAAGAAAACACTGAAGGAGGAAAATCTGTTACATTATGTTGTCAGGCTTAATGTCTATATTCTGATTATTTATAAGTTTTCGCCTGAACACCGCGGTGGTTGATTAACTGATTTAAACAGCTGCTCTACTGATGACCTGGTGGGTTGTTTAGTGCTAACGGAACCAACACACCGAACTGGGCAGCACATGCTGAGGTTATCAAAGTCAATACCACAGCAGGGGTCAGCAACAGTTAAGGTTAGTATAACTGACCCACTGCTCACTTGTTCAATCTTTTCTTTAAATTAAAACGTTTTCCTCACCTGTGAAATCTGAATAGATTATTACCATTATCTATGGTTGAATTAACTGCTAAACATTGCGTC